AAGTGTGATGAGACATGCAGAAATCTTGCTAAAGGACTTTCTGCTCCGGTTTGAGGATAAGAGGATAAGAAGAATTCTGCTTGTTGACAGATTTATACAGTTTGAGTCTAAACACACAAACTTGACCTTGCAGTAACATTTTAAAACTTTTAAATATAATTTTTTTGCAAGCCTAAAGTTTTAAAATGTTATTGTAGGGTCAAGTTTGTGTGTTGGTCGGATTCTGGGAGAGTTTTGTCAGAATCTTTAGAAGATGAAGGAAAACGTAGAATGGTAACAAGGACAAAGGCTGAACTCTAGCTTTGGAAAGCTTGACTTGAACTTAATTTTCAGTGACTTTTGCAATGCTCTACCTTGCAAGAGTGTGTTTGATTCCTACTTCTTGGTAAATAATAATTGGTACTTCTTGGTAAATAATAATGTGGACAGATCTGAAGAGACATTTTCATTTTTAAATCAAAGAAATAAGATTGATTTTTCAACTCAGCATCTTTCAAGGGTTTGGGGGAAGGAGGGAGAAAGGGCCTTGCAAAGATTATGCCGTATCGGAACCCATTACTGGGAATGGGTCTCACACTCTTGCATTGACTCTCCTGCAAGTCTTCCCCCACTGAAAGCTACAGTTAATAGGTATTATTTCATGCTTATTTTTCCACTTTAAGGTCTATAGGTTTAATTATTGTATATATTTGTTATCGTGGCTGTCATTTCTCCTGTGAGCATGTGTATGATGAATCCTAATGATGGAGCAACTCCCCTAAATGGAGGGACGGGGGTGGAGGGAAGACTCAAAACATCTATAGGGATGAGACAAATAACAAAAAATGCTGAAACAACTAGTTCCCAGGCAAATTTTACAGTATAAGTAGATGCCTGGTCTCCCTGTGACAAAGATGACCCTTTGAGATACAGAAGCTGTTTTGGGCCCAGGAGTGCCTTTGTCAAGGATCTTGCTTTCCCTTTGAAGGGGAACTTTTCTGCGGGGTTAGGCCAGATCAGAACGCAGATTATGTGTTTAGCAGAACACAATTACATCATTAGGTTAAACACAAAGTAAGGACTTGATAGAGCCGACTTAATGGAGGGTGTTTGCATCAGATTCATCATTCGCTATCAGGTAATTGTGAAATTGCTTTAAGCCAAAACAACAACACTCCCCCCTTCCCGCATCCTCCAGGTCAGTTCCTCTCCTTTAAAGTCGCTTGGGTCATGACCTACCTGGAGGCCAAATGTGTGGGATCTGGCATATGGAGAGGTTGGATTATGTTTTTGGTCACAGTCTGCAGCCCAATGCGTAGTTTTACTCCACCGAGTTCCTGTGCACTTCCCAGTGACGCTTTTATAGGTGGGCACGAGACCAGGTCACCTGTTTCTCTCACTAGAGTGAGCTCTGTTCTTCAACATCCAGGCTTGTGTTGCTGCACAAGCCTTTGGAAACCTGGATGGCAGTGCGGGGCAGGGTTATCTGCTTCAGTCGATGGGACTTCCTTGTCCCACCGGCTTCTGGGGCTCAAAGACACGTTGGAATGTCTGTGCCCTTCCTGCCCAGCTAAGCAATGCAGTGCTAAAAAACGGTCTCCGCAATTTTGCATTATATTTCTTCCATTTTGGTCCCCTTTGCTGCAATCTCCTGGCAGTCATAACTTTGATTTCTATAATAAATGTCCATATTTAAATTTTAATTAAAATCCATAGTACTGGTACTTCTTGCTTGTGGTCAGGTTGGTGGAATTTCATAATTGCCTCATTCTTGTCTCTTTTAAAGGCCCCAGGCCCAGAGGGGAGGGCTGCCTCCCAGCTCTGCTCTAAGGCACTTCTCTTAACTCCAGCAAATCTCTGAGTTAATCCTCTGCTCCAGGGCCAGATCTCTGCAAAGAAGAGTGAGGGGCAGGCTTAGGAAACCTGCTCGGAAGAGGCACAGTAGCAGCAGGCGCAGTCAGGCTGTGTGCAGTAGGGATCGTGACGAGTCGAGACCTGGATTTTTGCAGAGAGGCACCCTCAGAGCAATAGAGACTGTGGTGATCTGTATTTGAGGTGAATTCTTCTAAATTCATGCTGAACTGCAGAAGTACCTTTGCAATTATTTAATTGTGTGCCTTCTGATCTCTCAATTTAAGAAAGTCTTAAGGGTGTGGGATAAAAGTCATCCACCTGATCAGGGAGACCATGTGGGTGAGATGAGGGGGGAAAGCCGATGTGTGGCTGTTCCCATGCCAAAATCTTTCCCTTTCTTGGGACGTAGGAGATGCTATAGCAGAAAATCTTGCATATATACTCTACACAGTGTGCTCATAGCATAGCCATGGCCTTGGGCAGTGCAGTCTTACAGCAGAGCTGAAGGGCTGGCTAAGAGGAGAGCAGAGCACAGACCTTGTCTGCACATATGGAGAGGAAAAGGCAGCTGCTCAAGTAGGTGAGTATCAGTGGCAGTGTGAAAAGAGAGGCCAGGTTGGGGTGGATGTGCAAGCAGCTCCTCTGCAGGGACGCAGCCAGCTGAGGTCACTGCATTGGTGAGTGTGCAAAAAGAGAGGGCAGTGGGTGCCCCCAGTGGCCCTTGCTCGTGAGACCCCGCGGGGCTGGTACCCTGGAGCAGCCCCACGGTCGGAGCAGTGGGATGGGACATTTCTGTTGACAACATGGAAACCTCCCCCAGTAATACTGACCCACCTTCTTCTATAGCTCCGTGGCATAACCAGCATCCACAGGCCCACCTGACCCTACAGTGTCCATGAAGGCAAATGAAGTAGCTCCAAATCGCTGAGATTTTTGTCTCATGTGCATACTGTATTTTTTAGCAGTGTTCTACCAATATTAAACTAGCTGGCCTGGACAGTATACACCCAGTAGGCTGTAGAGAACAAAGGGAGTGGATAAACTTCAGACAGATGTACTGTGGAACTGCAGATTTTCTCATTCTTAAAGGTTGATTTACTTTGGTCACTTTAAAATGTTTTCATTTGCACACATTCCTGAAATCCTACTTGAAATCCTACCTTAAGCTTGGCATACCTGACATGAAATTCTACACACAGAAAAGGCATTCTAATAATATGCAAATTCATGACATAATAATTTCTTGTGATTTCCTTGAAAGTTATGGAAATTTCACTGCAATTTTACTGAAATTGTATTTCAGTAAAAGCAGATTTTATCATGTAGCTGTTTTTTCATTCAGGGACATCTCACAGGATTTGCAGTGTGTTACAGGCTTCAGCATATCTTTCTCCCAGGGTCACTTTGTTACTTTTATGTTTATTCACACTCACCTGCCATTTACCAATATTTAATGAAAATTGCAAAGTGAAAAGGCACTCTATTTGCCTTCAATAAAGTGTCACCTGAACAAAATTTCTTAACAGATATTTGTCTTCATATTGCTTCATAGTGGGCTAGGAAAATGCTGTTGCCCCAAACTTTATTAGAAGCAGGGCTAAGTCAGAGACGTTGACTTATTTGCCAAGTTGCACGAAGTCTGTGACTGAAGGGGGAACAGGCTGGCTCCCGGGTAGGAGGGAAGTAATTGGATGAGCTTCATCCCCAAACACTCGAGTGTTACAGGACTATTTAGCTCTTCAATATTTGTCTCTACCAGGAGATCCCAAACACCATTGCAAGCAGGTTGGCATCTCTGCTGCCTTGCTGCAGGTGGCACTGAGGACCTTGAGCAACCCAGAGATCAAACAGGAATAAAAGTTAGATTTTCTGAAGAGCAACTTATCTTCTCGGCCAAGGTCTCTTCCTGGTCAGAGGGCTAGGTGACATCTAGTAAAGGAAAGCACAAAGATAATGTTGTAGAGATTTGCACTTGTCATTATATTGATTTGAATAGGGAAAAGGTAGCTCTGTTGAAATAAAACTCTCTGACAGTTTGGTCTTGTCTCCTGAATATTGGCAAGTGTGAGATTGTTGTTGCTACTTTGGAACAGTTGTACAGTTATAAGGAGCCAGTTATATGCTGAAAGGACCCCGCTACATTTAGAAGAACTGGTGTACAGTTATAGGCAGACAAAGTGGAAGGTTTTTGTTTCAAGGAGTCTCCCATCAACTGATGGTAAAACCTTCCACGGCCCTCCTGCTACTAAGTGTTTACATTCGAGAGTCTGTAGGTGGAGGAGTGCAAGTATAATAGGCTATGGGCTGTAAATGGTCACCTAAGAGACTAAAACAGGTAACATCTAACACTTGGACTTGAATATTTTATTAAGTTCAGGTATTGATGGATATAAAGAAGCTGAAATGTTAACTGTTAAGGCTGATACCTAAATGAGAATTACCACTCTACCGGTATAAAGCATGATTGATTATTATGTATGTAAAATTATTTCACAGCATTTGCTGTACATGATTGAGATTGTCATTGTTGTTGTAAGAGTATGACTAGACATAAGAGTATTGTGAGAGTGTGATTAGACAATTAGGATTGTGTGTATTGGAGTATATGTATAAAAAAAATCTAATCACAGAACAACATGGAAGACGAGGGATGAAGGTCTCTGAAAGGACGTAAACTACCTTCCAAATAACTGTAGTTAATATTCCTGAGATGAGAACTTGAAGGTTTTGGATGTCTGTGCATAATGATTTCTCTGCAAACAGCAGCATGCCCACAAGTAAAACTGTGTAAACACACAATTAGACAATTAGCAAATAGGCCAAAAAACACAGCTTTAATTTTCTTTGCTCTTCTGGATTATACTGTGAAAATTCTAAAATAAAAGTAGCTTTACCAGCCCTCTATACCAAATAGGTTCTTGAGGTTGTAGACAGAAAGTGTAGGGAGAAAACAGAAAAGTGTGTGGAAGAGATGTGCCAAGAGCTGCTATTGAAAGAAGAGGTTACGAAGTCTGCCACATTGAAGAAAGAAGAAGGGAAGAGGCAGTAAGGGGCAGTACAAGCCACTGCTAATGACTGTTCCTGCTGGACATTAACCACATTTAGCACTTTGTTTGTAAATGGGCTGCATCCCCTCATTAACAGACTTTCTTCTTTGTGTTTTTCAGATCATGGGGAATTCTTATGCAGGGCAACTAAAATCTGCCCGCTTTGAGGAAGCCCTTCATAACTCGATAGAAGCTTCTTTGAGATGTAGCAGCGTTGTCCCACGGCCCATCTTCTCCCAGCTGTACCTGGATCCTGACCAGCCACCTTTCTTGCCGGAAGGTAACCACGAAAGTATGGCACATTTCCATTGTCATTTTTCTATACGAGAAAAGGGTGGGATGCTTTTCATAAAAAAAAAAAAAAAAAAAAGGTGGAGGGGAGGAGGGAACAAAAAGCAAAACAAAGAAAAACACTGCAGTTAATTGTGTGACACAAAATCTGATTTTTAGACCTCCTTGAAGAGAATGTGTGGCATACTGGTAATCTTAAAAAGAGATAAGTGCAAATACTGAGAAAACCTTTATTTTATTCTGTGTTCTTGTTCAGATGTGAAACCAAAGGTAGAAGAGTTGGATAAAGAGTTAGTTCATCGCTATTCACAAAATGGAAGCCTGGACTTTCCAAGCAACCAAGCTGCTAATGAAATGGAAGATGAAGAGGAGGATGAAGACATGTCGGATTCAAGCAGTCCACCAATCCCATATTCACAAAAACCTGCCCCAGAAGGCTCTTGCACTACTGATGGTTGGTGTCCATTCTTTTTCTTGAAGCAGCCTTTACAATTTCTTCTCATTTAGCATGTGTTCCTTTAAAAGTAGAAACTCTTGAGCCAGAAAGTCTGCCTGGAAAACCCATTTATAGTCAGAGCCTGAGATCTGAGAAAATATTGAAGGGGAGAACTTGTTTCAGGATATAAAGTGGAGTATGTTGCATGAAAGCAGTGTCATTTCCTTTGGCACTTAGTTCCTAAGAGCTCCATATTTGCTGTGCTCATCACTGAACAGCAAAGCAGTTGCTTAAGTAAGTGTCATTATGGCTGGTTCCCACTTTTTAAATTCTTGTCAGATTGGTCGAAGCTCTCTGAAACACAGGCAGAAAGGGATTTTGCTGCTTCTGAGGGAGAGGGGCCTGTCACAGGCAGAAGAAAGAGTTTGGAGAAAGTGGAGACTTGCTGTGACTTCAGCTATCAGAGGGATAAGAAGGATGAAAAGTGTTGCTTTTCCCCTCTTCCCCAAAGAGGAGGAAGTTCCTCACTGTCCCTGGCATGGGAGCTGATGCAGTAGCCAGCCTGTGGTGCCCTCAAACAGGTAGCAGGATCATGTCTATCTTTTCTATCTGCTGGCTGTTGCTTACTTACCCTGAACTGTCCTGATTATTGATCATAATGAACAAAATTTCTCATGGTACTATTTTGATTTTGTTTTCAAATATTTCAAAGAGAGGGTTGGATGATTACAACTGCACTTGTTGGATGAAGTAAACTTTGTAGATTTGTTCATTTTAGCACATAATTGTGGTATTCCAAATATGTAACTGTTTCTTAAAGAAAGAAGATCTATTAATAATTATGTTATGGATTTCTCTTAAAAACAACCACATCAGCTCTTGAATACAAAGAGCCCCTCTCCTAAGACCTTATTAATGTTTCATTCATCATCTTCCAGAATTAGGGGCTTCCTTGTGTAGAGGCTGCAGGAAGCTGTGATTTGTAGAATAACCTAGTGTGGTGTGTGGTAACATGCAGTGATAGATGTAAGCCCCAGTTTCTGCTAATCTGTAGAATTTATTTCTGGTAACTGGTGCCAAACATTGACATTTTTGCCTTTGTCCCTTCTGAATGCAGTTTACATAAGGCTGTTTACTCTCCGTAACAACGTACCTCCTGTTCCCTGGAATACAAAGAAACAGACTGGCTACAACGGGAAGCTGAGGGGAGTTGCTGGGAGACTCTGTCACTCAGTTTGAAGTTAGTTGTATTTTGGAGAGTTGCAATTTAGAAAGAGAAGAGGAGGCACAGGTCTAAAATGACGTATCCCTAGGCAGATATTTTCAATAGAGAGTGAGGTTCAATAATGGCATTGTACAAGGTGCTGCAAAATCTCCTGTGGAGAGCATGAACAGTTCTGATCACTGCTTTTAAAGAAAGGTAAAATAAATGGGATGGGATGCAGAGGAGAACCAACAGGATGTTAAAAAGGAAGGAGATATCCCGTGAGAGGCTTTTTGCCTGCCTGAACAAAAACTGAGGTGACATATGATGACACCTTCTAAGTATACTAAGGGGGCCAAAGAGCTACCCATGCCAGTGAGGTCCTGTAGCCAGAAATCTACTGGGTGCATAAAATGGCTGTGAATCTGCCTGGGTTAAAAGCTGAGAATTCTGTAAGTGTTAGAAAGAATTCAGGAATTGCCTTAAGAAGTGGGAACAGGGACAAAAAATTTGGCTCCAAGTCCAAGTTTGGCTCCAAGGGCACCAATTGTACAATTGTGAAAGAGTTTTTTCATATGACATTAGGAAATCTTTCTTTTAGTCCTATAAACCCAGTGTTCACATGTTCTTACAGTCCCTGGCTGCGCTCACATGCCCAGACAGAGATATTACAGGTGAATTTCCAAACTGAAAATTTCCAAATTGTACATAACAAGATTGTGCTTGGCTATGCTATAGTTAACAAAATACATTAATTACATTTAGTAATTAGTAGCTCGTTAGTATGTCCTGGAAGAAGAAGACTTTATCTATGCAGTTCTTGTTTTGATATTCTATTTTTTTTTAAGATCAAGGTGCCTTGGAAGGAATTTTCTTATATCCTCAGAATATGAGGATTGTCCATTACTCTTCAGTCAGAGGCACCATTTTAAGTTTACAAAGTCTGCCTCCCTCTTCAGTGTTTTCCTCAAGAAAGTGATTTAAGAGAAAAAAAAGATTACGTACCTAGACAACGAAAGGAAAATCTGTCTTCTAAAATCTTTATAATAATACATCAGGATAGTTTCATTTAAGTGTTTGAAACACCCCTGTTCCCATTCACTGTGCAGCACATGCTAATTTATAAATCATCTTTCTTGGGCATTTGACCTTCCAGAGACATAAGAAACAACTACTGCTGTTATTTACATTCCTTATCTTTCTTCCTTAATTCCAAAGATAAATAGCATTAGGAAAATGTTTTAAAATGCTGCTAGATTAATTCAAGTCGCTGTAGCTGTTTGCATGCTTTAAGCTGAGCCTGCAGTTACAGTTCTGCCAGCTGCAGAACCTGTCTCCCAGGTTTTAACATAGATTGGGTAAAATCTTTCTTTATAAAGTCTTTGTGCTCTTTGTTCTGCTGAAATTGGAATTTATACCATGATCATAGTATTTTTCTGCAGTGATGTGTTCCTTATATTCAGAGTTGTTGGATGAGTTGTCAGTGCATTAAGTAGATCTTGCTGCCTCTACTTGTCAATAAAAAGTAAATACCTCCCAAATGATAATTTATTCGGATGGTCTCTATCAGCTGCTGTAATATTAGATCCCTTAACCTCTCTCTTAAATAGCTCTGGGACGTGAGAAGGGGCATTTGTAATTTATCCCCTTATTAGTGATAAAAATAAAGACTTTAAAATCAAGAATAACAAAAGGATTTGGCGGATTCACTTCTTTGGGGATTTTTTTGTTTTTGCTCATGATACTTTGTGAGTAACATTCCAACCATGAAAATCAGGTTTCAATAAAAATGCGTCATCGTCATAGCAGTATCTCAAATATGCAACAAAAAATAGTACAAGAAGCTGTTCTTGACAACTTGTTTACTGTAGCTTTAAAATAGGCTATTTCCAATTTGTGGAGTAGCATTTTATGCAAGATGTGCGAAACACAATAGTAGCACCTTCCTTTTGTTACTAAATCCTCAATTTACCTGATGCTAAAGAAGGGCCCGGGTGGTTTCAGGGGCAATTAGGTAAGCAGGTACTTAACACCTGATCAGTTACTGTGAAGTTACAATAGTAAGTGACAGTGACCTGCCATTCATATGCAATTCCTGGAAGCTAATTTCTTATGCAAATATCCCATTTACTGCAGTACAGCAAGGAGTCGGCATCCCCCTTGAAACTGCTTGTGCTTCTTGATGGAGAAAAGCTTCATTTTTAAGAAGGCAGCAGGATTTCTCAATGGCAGTGGCTGTGTGGTCATACTTACATTTTTAGGAAGATCAGACTATATTAACCTTAATGAAGTGATACCAGGGAATGCAAGTGTGCTTCTCAGAAGCAAAAAAACTATTCAATTTTCTTTCAAAGAAATGCAGATAATGCCTGTAAAAGCTATTCATTATTCTGTTTTGGGGCTGCTTTTGGTATTTGCAAATCTCTACTTGTAATATAAATGCCTGCTCCAACAAAAAAAATGCAGCAGCCCAGATGTGTGCTTTTACTTCCAAAAATTACATTTTGATGAGCAATGCAATAAAGAGAAAATGCTTCTCAGTGGCTCAGAGGTTTTCTCGTCTTTATGCCTCTGTGTCCATAAAAAAAAATCCACATTTTTTTTTCTGAGTTGCATGTGCTAATGCTACTTGGCATATCAATTTATGTGCAAACTCGACGATAAATGAATAGCTATGAAATGTAAATGGATTTTTTGCGTGGCCGAAACCTTAAAATGCTAAGTTGCACTTTCAAAGAGAGGTCATGTTTTGTCTTTGCAGAAATGGATATATCTCACAGAGAACTAAATACCACTGCAAAATTGTGTGGAAGAGGAAGGAAAAGCTTGGGGTCTCCAAGCTGCTTGTCAGCTAGAAAACGACGTCTTTCTAACGAGAGTGCAGCAGGGAAAACCATGCAGAGAAGGACTTGCTTCCACAGGAATGTCTTGTGTGGAGCTTTCCAGTGGGGTTTAAAAAAGTAGCAGGAATTAAACACTAGAACAGCTCTCAAAGCGTAGCCTGCCTGGCTGTGGAGGGGAATGCCGGGCTGTGGGGCGCAGCGTGGCTGCCCCTTGCTGCCAGCTCTGGGGCCAGGCCTGGCAGCCGCCCCACGCCGCTGTGGGGCCAAGGAACTCCTTGAATTTCTGTCTGTGCTGCCCCCTGTTGCTGCCGTGGCCTCGGCCTCGGCCTCGGCCTCACTCTGCTCGCTGCTTGTGGGGCAGCCGGAGGCCGCTGCCTTTGGGGCGGCCGCCTTGTGCAATGGCCTGCGTGCCTGGCAGCCTGCTCGGCGGGAAGCCGGCGGCTGCTGTGGGCCCTGTTTGGCAGAACGGGGCGAGATCGGAAGAGATACTGAGCTCCAGCAGGATTCGTGAAGCCCGGGAGCTGGTTTGTCAACGTCAGTGCCCCCCAGCTGGTGTCCCCTAAGGCGGGAGAGGGATGGCGGCCTTTCTCTTCCGTGGGCATGGGCCGGCCGGCCTGCTCCCCCCTCGATCCATACAAACCACCCCAGCGAGAGAAGCATCTGAGGATGGAGGGGAAAACCCAGCAAGGAGGAGGCGGAGGGACGCTGGGGGACCTGGCTGAAGTAGGAGAGGGTGCAGGGAGTGAGTCTGAAGCATCGCACATTAGGTGGGATTCGGCCTGTCTGTGGTACAGCCCTAGGTATCCTAAATGATGAAATGAGGAAAATTAAACATGTTCAGAGTCTCTCAGAAGAGGCAGCTGTTGCCTGTGATATTGCACTAGGACGTGTAGCTTTGCTTTGATAGCTGAGCTGCTCCTGAGTGTTGCTTATCACCTTGCGGAGGTGCTCCGTGTGTCTCCGCTCCTGGGTTTCCATGCAAAACGGGGATGCGGAGCCGTTCAAAACGTGTTGGCTCCTTAGCTTGGCTCGTAGCAGGGTCTTTGCTCACCCCCAGGTCCCATGCAAGGCTGGAACATTGCTTCAGTTGAGTAGGACATGAAAATCCACGTGTATCCAGAAAGGCTTTATGTTTCTTATGTCCTACTCAGCACTCTGAATGGCATAGCCTCTTCTGAAAGCAAGTCGCGCTTGAAATGTGACTGTTACCAATGTTGACAACCCAAATCCTGCTGTTTTTGACATTCTCGTGTTGTTATCAGCTAACAGCTTCTTCAGAAACCTGTTATTAGTCACTGCTCTTTATTGAGAAAATTTCTAGGTAGAGACAGGCCGAACTGTAATTGTTAGAGACATAAGTTCAAATCTGTTTCCAAATCTTATCACACTTGTTTCATAATCCCTATCTACCGCTTTCTTGCTTGCCCACATTGTCAACAGGGGATAAAGTTGAGCAGATTGTGCGGCTAGGCCCAAGACCCAACATGCATCAGACCCTGTTTTAAACGAGTTGCTGCTTGCTAGGAGGTTTATGATGACCGATGCTGCATTCCACTTTGTGCATGTTCTTTGTCTGGTAGTTTTGAGATTAAAAAATCACAGACAAAAACGACTTGCTTCCACCAGCTTTGCTGAGTTTCAGATGAAGTGTTTATCACTTGTAGGTGAGAGTGCAGACACACATGTTAACAACAGTTCAGGTGGCTCTTGGTTAAGCTGTGATTTCTTGGTGTTTAGCCATGTGTTTAGTCAGTCTCTTCCAGTGTTTTGCCTTTTTTCTTTAAAAAAAATCTCTAACTATGGACTGCTGGAATATTAGTTTAAATGAAGTGTAACTAATACTTCAGAATTTCAGAATATTTAAGGTTGGAAGGGACCTCTACAGATCATCTAGTCCAACCTTCCTGCTCAAGCAGGCACACCTACAGCATGTGGCACAGGGTGGCATCCAGGCGGGTTTTGAAGACCTCCAGAGTAGGAGACTCCACAACCTCCCTGGGCAGCCTGTGCCACTGCTCTGTTACCCTAACAGTAAAGAAGTTGCTCCTCACCTGGAGACGGAACTTCTTATGCTTCAGTTTGTGGCCATTACCCCTCGTCCTATCGCTGGCCACCAGTGAGAACAGCCTGTCCCCTTCCTCCCTGCATTCTCCCTTCCTGAACTTATACATATTAATCATATCCCCTCTGAGCCGTCTCTTCTCCAGAGAAAAAAGGCCCAGCTCACTCAGCCTCTCTTCATACGAGAGATGTTCCATTCCCTTAATCATCCTGGTTGCCCTTCTCTGGACCCTCTCCAGAAGCTCCACGTCCCTCCTATACTGGGGTGCCCAGAACTGAACACAGTACTCCAGGTGCGGCCTCACCAGAGCTGAGTAGAGGGGCAGAATCACCTCCCTTGACCTGCTGGCAACGCTCCTCCTGATGCAGGCCAGGATCCCATTGGCCTTCTTGGCCACGAGGGCACACTGCTCACGCATGGTTAACTTAGTGTCAACCAGGACTCCCAGGTCCCTCTCCGTGGAGGTGCTTTCCAGCAGGTCGACCCCTAATCTGTACTGATGCCTGGGGTTATTCCTCCCCAGGTGCAGGACCCTGCACTTGTCCTTATTGAACCTCATGAGGTTCCTCTCTGCCCAACTCTCCAGCCTGTCCAGGTCCCTCTGGATGGCAGCACAGCCCTCCGGAGTGTCGGCCACTCCACCCAGCTTGGTGTCATCCGCAAACTTGCTCAGGGTGCATTCCGTGCCCTCGTCCAGGTCATTGATAAACAAGTTGAACACCACCGGGCCCAGCACCTGGGGGACACCACTGGCCACAGGCCTCCAACTGGACTCGGCCCCATTTATGACCACCCTCTGAGCTCTGCCATCCAGCCAGCCCTCGATCCACCGCACCGTGTACTCATCTAGCCCACTGTCCCGGAGCTTCCGTATGAGGATGTTATGGGAGACAGTGTCAAAAGCCTTGCTGAATACGATTTAATAGTTTAAGTCTTAATAGGTATTACAGTAATTTTGAGCTCAGTGTTTGATTTTAACAATGTTAGAACAGTGTTCGTTATGAATTTGATTTTATTTAAAATATTGATTCATGAAGATGTGTGTGTAGTGTGTCAGAGTATTTTGATGGTTGTAGCAAAAGAGAGAAGGTCCACGGATGAGTGTGTGCTATCTTTGGGCTCCATACTTACCCTGAAATAGGGGAGTTTGCCACCAGTTATTGCTGGGAGAGGGGTGAGCTACAGCCTTAAGCGGTGGAGGGAGCCCCATTTGTTTGCAACCAGTACAAAGAAGAAAATTAAATCTTCCGTAAGATTTATCTGTTCTCCTGTGGCTTGTTTTTCAGGTTTTTGTCAAGCAGGCAAGGATTTACGGTTAGTATCCCTGTGCATGGAGCAGATCGATATCCCAGCAGGCTTCCTGTTAGTAGGAGCCAAGTCACCAAACCTTCCTGAGCACATTCTGGTCTGCGCTGTGGACAAGCGGTTTTTGCCAGATGATCATGGAAAAAATGCACTTTTAGGTAAGAGGTTTTTGTTGTTATAATAATTCAGAGAGAAAGTCATTTCAAAATTACCTAAAATCATTTCAGCTAATGATCTTCTGCTAGAAATATGTTGAGGCTTGATTTTATTGAATTAAATACATAGCTAAACCTGCCTTAAAAACCCATTTTAAAACAAATCCCTGATTCTACAACTAACGACCATGAGCGCTTGCGGGCACAAGTCAAATTCAGCCCTAGAATTCTGAGATATTCATATTCTCTACTGATGCTTTTGGATTTTTCATTTAAGAAGAAATATGCTCATAAAACTTGTAAAAGATGAGCTATGTGTTCTATGTGCTGCAAGGAAAATGCTACCTTTGGCTCTACCGGAAGCATTATTTTGAATGGAAACTCCATGGGCAGTTTGGCCCGCAAAAACTAACACGTATCTAAAAATTATTTATGTCACGGCTGGTTACATTTATGCATTTTTAAAATTTGATACAAGAATGTTCCTTGCTGATTGAAGACAGATGTATATATAGCATATATATACACCTAGCTTTCCTGCTTGGCTCACAAATTGTACTAAAAGTGATTTAATGTATTTTGGCTCCTTTAACCTGTTTTGAATTCCTTCTCTCCTTTCTCTCCTCAATCCCTAAAATATAATCAGAAATCTTCCTTTTCAATGGGGAAGAAATTAAAATAAAGTGTAATTGCCCTTATTTAACCACACTGCTGAAGTTCTGTTCCAGACTAGCAATACATCACACAGATATCGACAAAGACCTCCTTTTGGTTCTTATCACCTTTAATATTGTTTCTCTCTTATCCCCATTTAAAAGGCTACTGCAAACTTTCAGGCTTATGGCAGAAATCCCATCAGTAGTAGGAGCTGTGGCGTGCTGTATCCTTGGTGGGTGGAGTTAGGGAACTGGGATCCTGGTGCCCTCTAGGGTGCAGACCTTGGGAGCTGCTCCCTGCTGAGCAGGGGAAATGCCAAGAAATGAATCAAGAAGAGACATCCGATGGGCAGCCAGATGGTGCTTAGTGCCATCAGATGCAGTAGTGCTCGTCTTTGCTGATAAGCCCCTGCAGAGCTTTGTCTCCGTCTGTCATCTCTGATATTGTTTACTAGGGAGCCTGCTGTCCCACAACTAGCTCTGGCAATGCCGATCCCAGAATCACAGGATGGTTGAGGTTGGAAGGGCCTTTGGAGATCATCTGGTCCAACCCCTTCCCCCAAACAGGGTCACCTACAGCATGTTGCACATGATCAAAACCAGGCAGGTTCAGATGGACTTATTCTGTGCTTCGATTTGTGCCCATTTCCTCTTGTCCTATCACAGAGGGGCACTGAAAATTGTCTGACCTCCATCCTCTTGACAGCCTCCTTTAAGGTATTTGCCTACCCTGATAAGATCTCTTTCAGTCTGCTCTTCTCCAGGCTAAACAGTCCTTGCTCTCTAAACAGTCTCTTGCTCTCTGTCCCCCTCATAGGGGACATGCTGCAGTTTCCTAATGATCTTTGTAGCCCTATGTTAGACTCTCTCCAGTAGCTCCATGTCTCTCTGGTGCTGGAGGGCCCAGAACTAGACACTCCAGGTGCAGCCTCCCTTAAAGGGAGGATCCTCTCCCTTGACCTGCTGGCAGAACTCTTCGTAATGCAGCCCAGGAGACCGTTGGTCTTCTCGGCCACAAGGACACATTGCTGGCCCATGATTAACCAGACGTCCACCAGACTTCCCAGGCCTGTTTTCCTGACTACCCTGTCTCTATAATTCTTCCCTTTGCCCCATCTTTCCTAGTTGGAAGCCCTCCTTAACAGGCTGGTCAACAGATTGGCCAAAGACACACATGCTTCTCTTAGTGGAGTGCATCCCATCAGTTGTCAATCTTCAAACAGGACCCATGGTTGTAGAAACCAAAACTATGTTGCCAACACCAGCAGTGCAGCCAGTTAACTGGGAAAATCGTCTTCTCCTCACATCCTCCCCCTCGCTGATGGGATTGAGAAGAAGATGAACCGGGCTCCCAAACTCTTGATCACCAGTCCAGAACTGTGAAATTTTCTTTGGTTTCCAGTTTGCCAATGGTGTCATTACTGCCCACATGGAAGAGCAGCAGAGGGTGATTCGATGCGTGGACAGGTCTCGGCAGTCTTTCCAGGACGTGTTTGGGTCCCTGGCAGGCAGCAAACCTCTCTAGATCAGAGGGTAGGTCGGCAGATAGGTCCCTCGGTGCTCTGCAGCGGGGAGTCACCCACAGCAGCCACTCGCTGCTTCTCCTGCATGACCCTGTGTGGCACAGGGGCTGTCAGCCCAGCTCCTCCTCAGCCTGGAGGGCACTAAACCTGTTCCTCAATTGCAAGTCTTGGAGGAGGAGAAAGGTTCTTGCTCCTCCTGAAGAAGTGACCAGTTTCCAGATGTCTTCTGAGTGTTACACAGCACAAGCTCTCCCTGTTGTCCTCCGTGCTGCTGCAGGGAGGTGGGACCCCTGGAGCTGCAAGGTCCCCAGGAACACCCTGTCTGTCCTTTACTCATCTTCTCAGATGCTATGGAGCCTGCTGGCTTCCTCCCATAACTCCATAACGTCCTGAACTGAGAACAAAACCCACCAACAAGGCACACAGAAACCAAGGTGCCTCCTGGCACCCTCCTCTGCCAAATGTTGCATCCATTGCCTGGGTTTAAGGCCTGACTCTTACACAGGCCTCTCCTTCACACTGACTCACCAGCTGCTTGACCCAACCTAATCAAGAGCCACCTGGATCAAATGTTGATGTTGATTTTGTTTGTTTAAGTGTTTCTAGGTATTTCTAGGCCTGTGTAACTGTTAGTTAAGAGCAAAGCTGTGGCTCAGTATCTTTGTGAGACCCTCATGCCTCCTTCTGGTAAGAGGCTGCAGGGGAGAAGGGAAGACTCATTCTGTGCCTCCAGGGCAGAAACAGGATGAAGAAGTGCACTCTTGGGCATCCTGGGCAATACCAGGGTAAAAGATGGTAATGAGGCATAGTTAGGTTAAAGATAATGGCCTATTTAGTGGAGTTTTATGAAAAGAAAAAGGGTTTTCTCAAATAGAATGATTTTTTTTTTTCCATGAAGCTACAAGACTTGCTGGTGAGTGTAGGAAGCAGTTTTCTGTGAGAAAATGCAGAGTTTTAGATAATCGTCAGCCTGGCCCCTCTCCAGAACTTAATTCAGGGAAGCCATGAATCTGAGCCAGTAACACCGCAGTAAAGCAGTCTTCTGCCTACTCCTTTATTCCTAAAGCTGTTGCTTTTGTGAGAGATTACAGGTTTTGAAAAGCAGTCTTAAGCACTCCTAAGCTATGTTGTGAAAGTCTAAGCTTTTGATTTTCAATGATTTCTTTGAAGATTTAATAAGGTACAAGGTTGCCCTTAATTGTAAAGTGCCTCGTGAGAGATGTCTCAGAGAGAACACGCTCCATGAGAAGGTGGGCAGCAGCCACACAGAGTTGCAGTGGACACTGTGGATTAGCCTCCCTTTGGAGAGCAGGAAGCCAGCACTGCAGCTTGGAGCTCTCCTGCTCCTGTGTCCACATGGGGAAGCGAATCAGCAAAATTTACCACAATTTTCCAACCTGGCAGCATAGATTTTCCCCCCTGCCAAGTAGTTTTTGCTCCCTATACTATGTAGGGAGTAAGACTGGTGGCAGAGTTTTGGTATGTGTTAGTGTGACTTAGAGAGAATGGTTTAGAGAAAAGCTAAGCTTAAAATTTCTGTCTGCTTCCTGACATACATATACTGGGCAGGGCATCTACAGTAGCTTTGTGTCTTGAGACCTTCAGTTGGTCTTAATTAGATGTGCAGGTAGGTTAAAGTGGCCTTATTGCTAGTGAATACTACAAATCCCTTAATCTGTGTGTCTACCTTTTGCTTCATTCTTTTCCAGGGTTTTCTGGGAATTGTATAGGCTGTGGAGAAAGAGGATTTCGATACTTCACTGAGTTTTCCAATCACATCAACCTGAAATTAACCACTCAACCAAAGAAGCAGAAGCACTTAAAGTACTACCTAGTAAGAAGCTCCCAAGGTGTGCTGTCAAAGGGACCCCTTATTTGCTGGAAAGGTAATGAAGGTGCCCATTCACCTAGGGATTTTTAGGTCATATTAATTTAATGCTGAACAAGAAATTGAAAGGTGCTGTTAAAAATGTATGAATTAAGATGGTATCATAGAAGCTGAATATCTCTTTTGATTAAAGGCAGTGGAAAAAAAATCCCACAGATTTTACGAAAGAAGCTTACCTAATCTTTATAAAAATCGGGCAGTCATAAATAGTCTTCTTCCATTTCCCTGCGCTTTCATTGGGAGCCTTAAATCAGTCTTTCCTGAGATGGTGGTGATGGGAGAAATGAGGTTCCTGAATCTGCTGGTGGTCTCCTGTGCCTCAGGCAGGGTGCACTGCAGTTGCCTGCTGTGGAGGGGACGGGTTGAAGCCGAGGGAAGGTAACCGTGGGTCCGGTTCCTGGGGGGTGCCAGAGCCGTGCAGAGGCACCAGGAGGGGTTGTGCCCCTCTAAGGGGTGTGCAGGCCACACTGCCTGCTCCCCTCAGCTGCACTTTCACTCAGTAAAGAGAGTGGCTCCGGGGCCTGCTCTTCCAAAGAGGAGGAGGAAGATGATGTAAGGAGAGCAGAAGCTCCAGAAGGAGGATTGAATTTCCCATCTGAAGGGTCGCATCCTCGTGTGCAAGGCACCGTGACAGCAGAGTGAGGTTGCATCACTGAACTGTGTGAAGGATTTTGGTGCTGCATTAGTTTGTGGTTCAGAGGGGTCCTGGCTTTAGCTGTTTTTCTCAGTTAGAAGTATAATTTACTGCTGCCTTGAGGAGGTGTATTTTTTTTATATATAGAACATTTTGTAGAAGCTACATAAAGGTTTAATTTGTTAGTCTCTTCTCAAAGTTCCAGATCCAGAAAGGAAACCTTATTTTTCATTATTTCTCAGGGCATATGAAAGGGTTTGTCCATGCAGTGCTACACTCCCGTGCATCATTTAGCAAATAGCTCATTGGAGCTGGAGTTGTTCTGCTTGGTGGTTTTCATATCCACAGTGCTCCCAGCTGCCAGTAACCCTGGGCTTGGTTAGGGAGTGTAGGCCAGAGTCACGCATCATTTTATTTCATTATATGTTTTTTTTTTCATTATTGACAATAGTGGGGCCACTGGTATGCTGAGATGCACCGGAGAAGAAGAGTGATCTTTTGGAATTATTTTTCTGAAATTCCTGATGTTCCTACAGCTAGAATTAGTGCATGACCTGGTGATTGCTGTCAGCAGAAACTTGCAGGAAAAAATTATTCTAAACCTTCCTCGGATCACAAATGTGGATGTGCTGAAGAGGCAGATCCCAGGCGAGCCTCTGGTGTGATACACTGATTGCAAGTGTTTTAAGCAGCCCTGGAGCGTTATAAAATTGACCATGAATAGATCTTGTGGCATCATCTCAGTAGGACCTATACTCATGTGGTTACACTTTATGCAAACACTTTCATTAAGGATGTGATCGGAAGAAAGATGCTATGAAACTCTCCCCTTCTTTCCAAACAAAACTGGTTAGATCTCAGTTTAAAAATGAATGGATGCAAATTTTTTAAAGTCACATTCTCCCTCAACTCTATTTTCATCCAGACAGTTACACGGATGAAGATTTTGAGGAGACAGGCTGGGAATCTGAGTTTCAGCACCAATGTCCCTTTAAAGGGCAACCTATGGTAGTTTGTATAAAGGCTGTGCCAGGGAAGTCACTGAATGTTTCCTGGGATGTGTCGGGTACTTGCAGGTCTCGGTAGCCGAGAGCCGGGAGCTTTTGCCATGTTGCAGCATCTGGTGTGTATTTGCTCGTCGCTCTGAACAGCCCCCAGGGAGACTTCCCTAATTAGAAGACAAAAATTGACTAATGAGGGGAGCTGCATTTTGGCCGAATGCTGCCGCTTGCTGCCCTTTGCCTTGTGTGCTGTGCATGCTTTTCATGTGTCATCCCCTTTTGCCACTGTGTTGCTGAACTTGCCTCCGGGAAGGCAGGCTGTGTTGATATGTACTGTAGCTGCTTCATTTCCAGAATGTAGGAGCAGGCAATCCTCAGCTGCTAGCCACTCTGCCAAACCAAACGCTTCGGTGTCGCCGGCCACGACCCCGGAGGCTGGAGCAGCTAACGGATACAAATCAGGGTTCACTCAGACAGGTAGGAGCTGAAAGTGCTGTAAAAACAACCCGTGGGGGTGGTAAGTCACCACAGATGTTGGGGTGTCAGGGGTGCCGTGCAGAAATGGGTGTTTACCTCGAGTCGTGTAATTCGGGGAGGATGCCCCTCAAAATTTGCTTTGCAAAAGATAAAGAGCCAAGTGAGGTCGAAGATTTAGCTTAGTTCTGCTACGGATATCCAATAGAAAGTATTTAAGAGCATCTTGTGATTCGTTTATTTGATTCTTTGTCTCCCAGGACTTGTTTCATTTAGTTTTTCATGGATCTTGAAAGGCTTGAGTTAGAGGTTTATAGTCAGTAGTTTACCTAGTATATAAAACAGGTCATTTGCCTCGAAATGGAAAACTAAAGGAAATAAGAATCCCCTTTGAATGGGTGGGACAGCTTTTATGTATTTAAACTTTCTTTTACCCAGGAATGTACCTAAAAAAGTAATTTCCCCCCAGAGCCCCTAGCTGTGTGCTACGTAAGCTAGCATGTCTTGTAACTGTGCTAGAACACTATAACTGATATTGTTAGAGGAGGAGAATATAAAAATTGAGTCGACATTGACAGACAAAGCAGCAGCATCGGAATGCCATTTATTTATTCATTCATTCATCACAAATAGAAACAGTGTTTTCATCATGCTTTCCTCACATTGCTTTGTTTATTGCAGCTTTGTCTATGCTGTTGCATGCTTTTGTGTCTGTCTCTGTTCCTTCTGAAAAACTAAAAGTTGAGGAAAGTTTTTTTGTTGTAATCAGCTGCCATGTATGTACCAGAATATATATTTCTGTGGAATAATATGAAATGCAGTTGGAAAACAAGCTTGTCACAATGTTTTTTTCCCCACTTACGAGGAATGTTCAAAACAAAGGACAAACACAGGCTGAACACGGACATTAGTATGAAATTGTAATTACTAATGGGTTTGTTCAGGGATATTTTCCACAGGTGGTCAACTCTGTTTCTGTTTTGGGAGCCGAATTGGTAAAATGAATGCGAGAGTTAATTTAAACACACGTGCATTTCACTGCATGATCCCCTGCTTTCCAGAGCCTGGCTGAGAACTGTGCAGATGCATGAGATGCCATTTATTTGAAATAACAAATAACCTCATAGTTACACAGCTTTGTCTTCTATTGTGGCTGCCAGGTTAATAGATGCACCTTTCACATCCTGCTCCCTCCTTATCGCTCCGGGGGATTCTCAGTCTGCTCGGGCTCTGTGTGTGTTACTGTTTGTACCCTTAGATCACGGTTTCCAAACCCTTTTCATCTCCTTCCACTGTTATCTTCTACGTGAAGATAATGCCACGTTCATACACAGGAGTGCCCTGGGAGCAGGAGCTGGGAGGGAGGGAGCCTTTTTCCTGCTGTGTGATTTCTGACATGCAATGGAAGTTCAGGTTTCTCCCTTAGACTTTGCACAGCTACTTGTGCTGTGACTCAAATTATCTGCCATTTGGAACGGGACATGCTTGTAAGCAAGTTGCTTTTTAGCAAGCCCTTTTCAAATGATTTCAGTTTATTCAGTTTGCTATTTCAGTTTCAGCTTCTTCCTTTTTAAGTTCTGTGAGTATTTCCCTTGTCTCACTTTGTAACTAAGCCAGGGCAGTCCTAGAAGTTCAGAAGGTGCCTCTGGGGAGATAGTGTACGTGCATGCACACTGCTCAGCATTGAAATGGTATTTCCATGAGAGAAATGAGAGCACAAGAGAGCTCTGAAATACTCTGGTTCAGACTGCCAGGACTGTACAGCGGTGACGTTGCTCTCAACGTGGTGTCGAGGGCCTCCTTCCAAGCAGCCTGGGAAGATGCGGCTCCTTTCCCAAGGGACACAGTTGGCACTATCGCAACATCTGAAAGGTCACATGGTTTCACCATCCACCTCAAGCAGTCACACAAAAGGACAGACTAAAGGTCTAAATGTTTAAAACAACCAGAAACAGGGTTCTGCAGAAGAAAGAGTGAATGCATTTGACAGGTTAAATTGGTCTCAAACTTCTCTTTTCTTTCCCTGGCTGTTTTGCTAGGGTATATGTAGGTGAACCCAGCCTGCTTGGCCTACTTGTTGCAAATGCAGTTCTGCAGAGATGCTGGGTTAACAATTCTCCCACTGGGATTATAAGAATTTGGATTTCTCACTGTAACAGTATCCAAGTTTATATTTTTTCTTCAAAGTAAATTGCAGATATTACACATCTAATGTTAAAGGAGTGGTCTCCACACCAGCAGCTTTTGGATCAGTTCTGCTTTACAGTTTAATAGTAGAAAAAAATATCAGAATGTTTTTATTCTTCAATTTATCCATCTATAAAATAGGACAAATAATAGTTTTCTGTCTTGATAAAGTGCTATAAGGACTAAGGCTTGTTAGTTTGTTAAGCAAAATTAACAAGCAAAACCAATTTACTTGTTAGTTTTGATACCTCCATTGCTTACTCGGACTCCAAACTGGACACAGACTTTCCATAGCCCAGTGGACAGGAGTGCTGGGAGGGCATCTTCACGAGGTTATCGGCTTGATTTATTTCCTGCCCCGAGTCAAACTCATCAGTGTCTGACAGAGGTTCAATAACCTGTTCTTGGAAATATCAGGTGATGGAGGTTCCACAGCCTTTTTAGGTAACTTATTCCAGGGCTTATTCCCTGTGGTTGCTGGGGGTGAGTCCCGTGAGCTCCTGCCTCAGCTTTCTCATCTGTAATACGGGATTATGGTGTTTCCCACAGGGCTATATTCAGGGACAATCAGATAACAATTTCTGCACTCAGTGTATTTTACAAATGTTATATGAAATATTGTGTGAAAGCAAAAGATGGTGGAAAAGACTTGGAGTTTCTTACATTGTTAGGTTCTGTAGAAATACTCAGTAAATGCTTGCTAGAATTCCTGTAAAATGCTTTTACAGGATGATTTCTTAGAGGGGTAAAATATATATTTGTATTATACGCATAAATACTTACATGTGCATAGATCCATGTATATACACACACACATGCACGCACATATATAGTTTTTTAGTCATTACTTAGTTGAATAACCTCTTTTCTCAGATTCTTCAGTATTCAGTCCAGGAAAGTCGTCTTCTGCTGTTAACCTAAGTGGAGCTCCAGATCCATCGCGGAACAAGAGCGTGGTGAAGCCGCTGGCTCTGTCGGTACAGCTCGTGGGAAAGGCATTTGCTGCAGGTAGCACCTCACTTTGCAGGATAACTGAGAGCCAAGGGAATTATCTGCTTACTTAGCAGACAAGAAATAAGGGAGTCATGTCTTTGGGAGGAGGGAAAGAAAAAAAGAAGAAAAAAGAAAAACATTCACTAGAGTTTCCAGAGCTCAGTGTGGAGAGGACTGAAAAAATATCACACACACACACACACACACGGAATGTTCAGGGTTGGAAGGGACCCCTAGAGATCATCTAGTCCAACCCCCTGCTCCAGCAGGGACACCCAGAGCACGGGGCACAGGGCGGCATCCAGGCGGGTTTGGAAGATCTCCAGAGAAGGAGACTCCCGAGCCTCCCTGGGCAGCCTGTGCCAGGGCTCAGACACCCTCACAGTATTCTGTGATACTGTGATACTATGTCAAACTAATATACTATGTCAAATAAATCATTAAAACTGTCCTTTATGTAGGATACCAACACTTAGAATATTTCAGATGAGGAAAACCAGTACTTTTTTCCTCCATGGATGAGGAGGGGTAGAATTTGTCATGCACTCAGGTTGCTTCTCACCATTTCAGCTACCCACAGCATCCATATCCATCTGCTCCAAATCACGGATCCAGGGCACCACCAGGGAGCTTGGAGGTGGCACGTGCAAAATTCAGGCTTTTCTAGGCAGTTAGGTAGTTTTATGCCTGATTTTTTTTTTTTTTTTTTTTGAATGACTATGGTGGTAAAAAAAAAAAGGGTGACGTTACCTCGTTTTAAGGCACTTGCCCTTCCTGCAGCAATCTCGTGTTGCAGCTGACATCAGCCAGCTCTCGGGCCCTCTCCTGGTACTGCTCCTGGGATATTTTCCCAGGAGTCCAGTCCCTGTGGAACTGGCCATATGCAAAGGAGCTGCAGCTTCCCGGGCCCCATTTCCATCCTGTGCAACTTATGCCATTTCTTTTTTCCTTCTGCAAAATCTAGATTTAAGAATAGAATAAGATGGAGCGAAATGCTGAGAGGATGTAAATCCCTGCGATCCTCTGTTTTGTAGTTTCATTTCATGATCTGGGTACAGCAGAGCCTGCTGGGGTGTCAGGTCCATGGGACTGGAGGATTCTCTTAGACAGGGGCAGCAAAATTAAAGATGATTTGCAATACAATAGTGCCCAGGGCATCTATACTTCACAATACAGTAATGTCCAGAGCAGTGCAGCAACTTGTCCTCTCCTCCATGCCCAGGCTGCCTTGCAAAGCAATTGGATAAGAGCCCTGTAGTGAAATATTGTGCATGGCACGTGCACAATCGGGGAATAAAAAACACACATGCAGCAGAGTGGCCAAGAAATCTTTATAAGCTGAATTCATGGTGGGCATTAAAAACAAAACAAAGAGAGGGGAAAAAATAAACACCCGCTCCTAACAAATGTGTCACTAAATTCCCAATTATTTTCTGAGTGTAATGTTTTGTTTCGGTTGGGGGTTGGTTTTGTGTGTGTCGCCTGTGTTCACCTGATTTCCTACCCGGTACCCCCCATGCTTCCCCCACAGTCGGTCTCACTGCTGTTGCCCTTTCGGGGTGTGTGTGGGGTGGGTGTCGCTGCCCCCTTGTTTGCTGGTTCGTTCGGAGCTGGGCGCGTGCTGACGCTGCGTGTGCTGCTCTGCGCTCAGCTCCCGTGTCGCTGCGAGCCGCCGACGTTGCCAATGGAAACGCCAGCGGAGGAGGCCGGAGCAGCGCGCTGGGCCCCGCGCGCCCCGCGCCGCAGCCGCCCTCCCCGAGCCCCAGCTCTGCAGCTGGAGACCCAGGTAAACACAACGGCCCCTTTAAATAAAGCTGCAGTGGCTCCTGAGCCCGAGGTCTGAATTTATTTTTCTTCCCATCAGAGCTGGGTTTTTTGCAATTTGGTCTTTACGGATGCATTTGGCTTCTGGAATGAGCTGTGAGTGTTGACCTTGTGGTCTTTGAAAGAAGTAGCTGTGTTTCTCACCTCACGGTGTGGCCTCAGCTGTGTGTAAACCTTTGGAAGCCAGGGGAGTTACAGGAACTCCAAATCCTTGGGAAGTGGGACCGTGGGCTGGACTCTGGTCCCCTTGGGAGGATGCCATTTAGCATGAGATTTTGCTTCTCTTCTCAGCATCAATGTCCAGTTCTGGGCCACCAAAGAAGCGACACCGGGGATGGTCTCCTGGGTCCCCAGTGCCTCCTCCTGGCTTGGTGGTACCTGTTCCTACAATTCGGCCTTCGGCACGAACAGGTAAAACTTTAATCATGCAGAGATGTCATTTGGTGGAAGGGGTAGAGGCCTGTCTGGGTGCCCAGTGCTGCTCCCTCAAGTGTTGCACTGAACACGTCGCTGTGCCTGGGTGCCATGGAAAGTGCCTTGGGTGCCCCAGAGAAACCCACTGCATGGACCTGATCCTTGTTTCTGTAATCCAAGCTGGGACAATTGAGAAATGGAAACTATTGGGATCAGAAGAGGAAGAAAGGAATAGTGTTAATAAGAATACAAAGCTATTTAACATCCCTAAATGCTACAGAAACAGCACGCTCGGTTCCTGCTCAGGTAGGAGGGCTCTATGTAGTTTTGGCCTACTGGAGGTCACTGTCCACCTTTTTATCTCTAGTTAGAAGGCTGCAATTTGTGATATCAAACATCTGATGTGCCTAGAGAAGCTAAGGGAGAGGTATGTAATATTGTCCTGTGAAACAGGATTACAAACCAGTATGAATCTGGGTGTATGTATGCAGCTCTGCTCATAACCTTTAATGAAACTGTTCGTTACTGAAGCACTTTTCAGTTATGGGATTGGGAATACATTGTAAAGGGAAATAAACAGTTACTTTTTCCTGCTTCCTCAGAGTGGGAGAATAAATATACAAGGAAAAAAACCCCACATTTCTCAAACTGCAATGTCTTATTATCTCTTGCCTCTTTTGAGGGTTTGGTTTAGATGTAGTTTGGAATTCATTTTCAGAAATATTCGCCTTGGGAAGACGGGGTGCTTGATGCTGTAAGCCTGTCTACTTGAGCACTTCAAATCAGTATGAGCTTCTGCAGATTTCTGCCTCAGAGACCTGCTGAAGATGTGTGATCTGAGGCAGCCTCCTCCTTTTGGCTTAGCTAATCTCAGCAAATCTGCTCCCTTGGTTCTGGGCTCCATTTGCCGTGTGTTCTTTCTGTTTTCCAGCTGAGACGGATATGTGTGTCTGTTTGTCTGTGCTACCTATGATGCTTTTCGTTGGATAGTGTTGCTTGAAAAGTCTGTTGTGAAGAGCCCTTGAAGTCTGAGAAATTTTTGAAGCAAGTCTTACTCCAAAACCTGTACAGATCACTAAATTCTTGAGCATGGGTTCCTGTTCCTTGTGAAAACTGCTGTTTCTCTTTCATGGACAAAGCTTTATTTTTATCTTTCTGATGCCACAGTTGCCAAGAGGACAGCTTGGATATTCTGGCTTTCTGATCCACATATACTTTATGTTAAAAGTCAGAGCTGCCTCTTCCATATTTTCGTTGACTGGTAGTGTTGAGGGTGCCCTTTGGGCCTCATGCTTGGCTTGGTTGGAAGATGCCTCTTTGAGCTGGTGCTTTTCTCTCCAGTTCCCACCAGCAATACAGTAGTCAGAAAAAGTTTTATTTTAGGGGTGGGCCTATAGGAGGATGTAGGCTCTCAATTTAAATTACTTAGAACTATAGCAGGAAATGCAGAGCCCTTTTGAATTTTATTACAGTCAGTGATCTGCAGTAATTTTTTTCTTCATTTGTTCATACGGCCAAATCACAGTATGAGCCTTTTAATAATGGAAGCTTTTCTTTATTTTACAGAGCCTCTTTTGTCAGTCCCAGTTCCTCAATCCATGTTAACTGGAATTTTACAGCCTCAACCCATCCCAGCAGGGGAGACTGTAATAGTTCCTGAAAACCTGCTGAATAACTCAGGAGTCAGACCAGTGATTCTGATAGGTGAGTCTTACACTGGAAAACAAAATGCTGCATTTTGCACAAGTGCCTGCTTCTCTAAAAGGAGTTTGTTCTGTTTCTTTTTGTTGATTCTCATATATGAGATTCAGCCACTTGAGCTTCAGTACAACATGAAATGAGTTTGTTGTGGATAGTTTGCTTCAGTTGCTCTACACTTAAAATAGGAAGTTGATTTCTGAGAACCTGTTTTGCAAATGGATCCTTACTAGGTCATGTTTATACAAAACCTCCAACCAAATTCAATTTTGTACGAGTAAGATTTTTGTAAAATCCAAGAATAGAAATATTTCCAGGAAATGAAAATAACTTTCCAATATAAACAACTTACAAACCAACCCAATATTTCCAGCAGCATTTATAGTCCAGATCTTGAAGCCTAGAGATTCTGCATGAGAACCAGAAAATTGATTCTGATCCGAAGTGAATCCAAGTAGTGCTTTGTCTTTTATAGTCCCATTCTTACTGCAGGCATCTTACAGAAACAGCAAATCAGATCTTTAAAATCTTTCAGCTGCATAAAATGCATTGTTAACCCATAGAAGGACATTGTTTTTACTTCAGTCATGCAACTTGTAACATGAATATGCCTTTCCAAATGAGCTATTTGGGAATAATATATAGAAATATAGCATGATCACTGCTGCCAATATTTTGAGGAGTGTTTTTTGACACTTCTAAACCTTTTCAGTTCAGTATAGCACAGATGCTGTATAAGGTAGCTTCTGTATTAGCAGAACATGCCTATCCATAGCCATAGAACAATTTTATCATTCATCAAGAAATGGGGAAGTTCTCAAAGTCCTCAGCTGCAAAGATAATCCTAGTACATACTCTTCCCAGAGAATTCATAGGCTGCTTACATGAGAAAGAACCTCAGGGCTAGTGTTGCCCTCTTTTGTTTGCTTTTATGTATTTTTGTTTTCTGGAAGCATATTCTACAGCTTCTGCCGTGGTGCTCTGTCCTACTGAGAGCTACACTTAGATGAGGGCACCTGCAGTCGTCAGCCTAAGTGCCATCTCAGTCAGCCCTTAGGCCCTGGAAAGATGCCAGTGAAGTCCTCAATTAGGCTCAACATTAGTGCCCCTGAGAAACAGTGTCCTACTACACAGAAGTACAGAATCAGAAGTACCCAAATGGATGGGTTTGGTAAAATCTGTGTAAATTTACTTGAAGGAGAACATTCTCCTGAAGAAGAGTCAGCCTGGGCTCTGTTCTGCTTTACTTTGCAGAACAGCTTGTTTAGCTGTTGGTGTTTGTTAAAATTGTTCATGAAAACGGAATGCAAACACAGCAAAAAGGTGAGACTAATCATGGAAATACACAGTGCCTGAGTCAATGCTAATGTGACTTATGTTGCTTTTGTGATGTTAAGATCGATGTAATATGCTTCTATTGACTTTTTTTTTTTCTTTTTTGTACACTATATTACAGAGAATGTCACCCTCATGTATTTAAAGGTTAGGGTAAGACCCAAAGAGACAACCTTCTCATTTGTCTTTGGATAAAAACAGTTATTATCCTGACAGTGTGTAATTAATCATTAGTTTTCACGAATCTTTGTGGTCATTTGTTGTAATATGCAGCAAGGATCACCAACCTCTCTCATTTATTTTGTACACAATGAGAATGCCAAGAACAGTCAGTGATGCAATGTCTTCTGCAAGATAATGTTAAGTACAAACTTGAGAATCTTAACATTCTTTAAGACTTCACATAGCAGCATATTTTGAGAATCTTTAGTTTTGTCTTTGGTTTTCTCTCTTTGAAGGTTATGGCACTTTACCTTACTTCTATGGCAATGTTGGTGATATTGTTGTGAGTCCCCTGCTGGTGAATTGTTACAAGATTCCACAGCTGGAGAACAAGGATTTGGATCTCCTGGGCTTGACCAGCAGCCAGCTGTTAAGCGTGGAGAATATGATCCTTTTAACCATCCAGTATCTCGTCCAGCTAGGTAAGCGGTTTGCTGCAAGTGCTTCAGTGACTGGATTTTCTTTTCCTCCTCTCCCACTTTATTTCTGTTTTAGAGCCAATTTTAAGGCCATCTATTTTTGTGTCCGGAGGAGGTAAGTGGCTCCATCTAGCGTGTGTGGCTTTGCTGCTTCCCACCACACATGGAAGTGAAGTGAATTTAAAGGCTCCTCTTGCCGCTGCTCTCCATATGGGGATTGACCAGGTCACCTTTGTGAAAATGCAGCCCTCTTTTGCAATGCAAATAACTCATTTGCTTAGAGTATCAAACCATCAGTTATCACAGGCCTTTCTAAGGACACTCGGTGGGTTTTATTCAGTCTCCTGACAAATGCTGGCAGATGTGTGCTGGTCAGCATTGTTTTGGTGACAGCAACGTTTACATGAAAACCGCATTTGTTATTCAGGCTGGGGCAAGTTATTCAGTGCATATCTCATTCTAGCAAGTGTATTTGAAGTGGACTCTTTGCACATTTGAGGGCAAAGCAGCAAAAGATACTTTTTTTGTCTTTGTCTTTTTACAGGTTTAGAATTTTTTTCCCCTACCTTACAGTAAAATACAGAAAGATTTTAGAAGCCCAGGAGTAAATCAGGATTGACAGCTCCCACAGCAGTCTCAGCAGTAATCTTTGAATCTGAAAAGCTGCTGCTTGTTACAGAAGAGCGTGCAGTGACTTTTGTGAAGAGCACCCTGTTTTTTCTGTACTCCGGATAAGCTGGGCTGCTGCTAAGGCTGCTGTAATACAAAATAGCAAAATGTGGCGCATTGAAGTGGGCAAACATTTCAGAAGAGATTCAAGTGGTGATGGTGGTACAATCTGGGGAGTAGGTGCATTCTGTTCAGGCTTATACACAGGCATGTGTTTTTATGCTTTGCTGTTCCCTGCTGATGCAGTGCTCTTACAGATGAGAAGCAGGTTATGTCGTGTGTGTGTGTGTGTGAGCTGTCTGCTTTATTTACCATCCACGACTGGGAAAGAGCCTTGATATGGATGCCAAGCTGGAACTGCCATTTCCCTTTACAGGCTGTATATTGCTTTCTTGCCTTCCTCTCAGAGCACTTAAGTGAGTGAGCTTTCCTCTTCATTGGAAAGTGTGTTGAGAATGTATGTTAAATCCATACACCTCTGGATTGATTCTGGTTTGGTAGAAGCAGCTCACAAATTTTCTTCAAAGCAGCACATCACCAGCCAATACAGCAACCCAATTCATATTTATGTATATTTGTTGAAACTTTTGGAGCAGTCAAGGAATTGCATTCCATAACCATTGATGAGGGTGACCTTAGATGGATGTTTAGCCCATACTTGCTGCAAGGTAATGCCTGCCTCGTGCCAAATTTCTGGAATTCAGCTTCACTGTGGCTAATAAGCATCATGTCCTAAGCGTAAAGAAGTTCTGTTGTTAGTAGGGGTGGCTTTTGTTCTGATCAATGCAAAACTGAACATTTTTCCATTTGGCCTTATGTGGAGATGGGCACCAGCACCATGAAAAGCAAAGCAGGAACACTCCATAGAGCTTTGGGATCAAAACGTGCCTGTGGGTTTCATACTGCTGCCCACTTCAAACTGCTGGCATCGTGACAGCCTCGTTGGACTGTAGCCTTTACCCCATGTAGAATCCAAGCAGACTAAAGATGAGTGGAGGACAACCAGGTTCAAAAGTTGTTGACAGGAAGGAACTGAGACAAATATGCACATAAACTAGGTTCGTTCATGTGAGCCTCTTTTTCTTCAGAAAGATTAAAAGCCTATATTTTTTTGCCAGAATATATTGCAAAAGAGCATGAGAGAGGCAAACATATGAGATGCAGTCAGAATGCCATGGCCTAAATCTTGCTTAATTTCTGCAGGTCCCACCACCTGTATAAAATATTTTTGCATATGACTATGTGTGGTTCCAGATCATAACAGTGTTATTTATGGAGATCATTTCTGGAAGAGTGATGTCTGAGAATTCCTTTCAGAGTACCTGGAAGAGCACGACAACATTGTCATCTGTGGGAGTGGGCCGTTGTGGTTTGTGAAATCAGTCCCACAATGATACTAAAAATTAAAACAAAAAATGTGCATGCCCTTCCAAAGCTTTTCTCTTACATCTGCTGTGAAAATTGTATTGCCATGCATAAATTCCTCCTGATTATGATACAAGAATAACTAAAAAAGATCAAGAAGTGTGTGTGATTTTTGTGAGGTTTTTTTTACAGCCTGTTTCCAGTATTTCTGTAGATTACACATTAATTATCCTTGGCAGCGTTCAGAGTTCACAAGCTTGTTTCTATACCTCAAAATGCTTCTTTGTGGGCTACATGGTGAAGGATGTCTACTGTGAAGTAGTGACATATGAATATGTTGTACTTAAATTATGGGTGCATTTGAAATCATACCTGCCTTAACGTCTTCCATAGATAATTCCCTTGTTTTTCCCCAGTAATTGTTCTGGAGAAAGCTTGCCAGGAGTCCAGTGTGATACTGAAGCCTCTGCTAAACTCAAAATATTTCCTTATCAGAGGATTTCTGACAACTAACTTTATTTTTCTCGTCAAGCATCTGAGTGAAATTCTGTGTTGTTCTCACACAGAAGTGTAAATAATATGAACAGTTATGTAAAGAATTTCAACAGTGAATTAGGATAGTTAGTATTATTTTGAGTCTTTGCAAGTTTTTCTGGTTTGGAGGTCTTTCCATTTGTAGAGATATTTTCATCTTTCTTGGATTTGTGGTGATTTCTTTGTCTAGAGTCTGTCTCTTAAGTAACTTCCCTCACTCAGCAAAAGATGGTCAAATGTTTGTAACATCTTGGTTGTTGGGGAGGGAAGGCAGGAAGGCAGGAAGGCAGGAAGGCAGGAAGGCAGGAAGGCAGGAAGGCAGGAAGGAAGGAAGGAAGGAAGGAAGGAAGGAAGGAAGGAAGAAAAAGAGGGTGAGAGAGGCTTCTGATACTGCAGAGCACGAATATGCCATTTGGGTAGATGCCTGTTGTGTGCGGGAATACAGCTTTTAGATGCAAAAATGAGCGTTAAACCATGAAGAGCCCATTAAATCTAAACCAACGGGCGATTTTTGCCAGTTCAAGAACAGCTTGATATGAGATCCCAGCCTTCTCTCTGTTTGTTTTCAACGCAGGCCCTGACCAGATCCCGCTGAGGGAGGAGTTTGAGCAGATCCTGCTGAGGGCCATGCAGGAGCTGAGCGTGCGCGAGCGCTCCCCGCACCCGGGCGCCCCGGGCGGCTCCGTGTCCCCGGGGCAGCTGCCTTGGCTCGCCAGGCTCATCGCCAGCGTGTCCCGGGACTTGGTGCACGTGGTTGTGACCCAGAACTCCCTGGCAGAGGGCATCTCGGAAACGCTGAGGACTCTCAATGAAATGAAACGTCAGCAGAAGCTGCCGGATTATGTCGTTGCCATTTGTGCGTCCAAGATCAGAGGGAATGAGTTCTGCGTGGTGGTCCTGGGTGAGTAGAGGGGCACGTGGAGCACAAACACCCTTTGGGGGACTGCATTTTCTCAAGCTGTTGTTCCAGCCTCTCGGTTTCTATGTCCCTTTAGTGCTTTTGGTTCCATCTCGTACTGCCACACTGCAATATCAGTTTACCCCTTCCTACATGAAGAGTTTAAGTGCTGATGTCCATGAGGATTTAGGAAAATAATTGTGTGTTTTCAGCCACATTCATTTAGGCCCCTTGAGAGAGTCCTGAAACCTTATTCTCTGTGTGACTGCCTTAGGAAGTGTTTTAAAGTGACAATAACAAAGCAGTGTGTTCCTCTTCTTCCATTGTGTGTAACAGCTGTGTTATTTCACATGGCAGTACTGAACTGACCGCAAATCTTCTACAGGCCACTATAAAACAGAATATCCTTTTTACCATGTTGGTTTTCAAATGCCTGTGGTGTTTGTGTGTACATCAGTGTCTAGGTGAAAGTGAAGTGTCTGAGTAAGTAATGCCTTTTTTTCTTTTCATACTAAGGATAATCCCCTTTTCAGGTTTAACCAGAACCTCTATTCCATCTAACACGTTATGTGTATCATTTGTCACCCAAGTGTGCAAACCTAGGCAGACCAGCTTGCAGAGATGTGCTAAGCTGAGACACGAATTCCTCAGCCACCAGCAAAATAGACTTGAGCCTCTTCTCCTGATCCCATGTGGAAAGGCAATGGAGATCCAGGGCTGAAGATGAATGTGCCATTTCTCTCCAGGGTGGAAAGGTGATGCTGATAATGGGCTGCATTAAAGGCTGATCTTCCTTTCTGGCATCCCTCCGCAGGGCAGTACCAGTCGAGAGCGCTGGCGGAAAGCATGCTTACCACCGGCGAGTTCTTAAAAGAAATCAGCTATGAGCTCATCACGGGCAAAGTTAGTTTCCTGGCATCACACTTCAAAAACACGTCGTTAGGTGAGTGGTTCTGGGGCAGATGGTGACTGCCGTGTTTCTTTAGTGCCTCTCTGTCTTCTGTTCTTCTGTCAAAGCGTGTGTGAAAATACAGCTCTGCCCTCTCCAGTGCGAGGCATTTTTCCTTTTGTGCAGTGTGAGTCTTTTGAAATTTCACCAATTCGCCAATTCAAATCGGTGAATCACTAAATAAGAGAGAAACATTCTTGCTCCCTGTTTCCTTTATCAGCAGCTTCCTGCCCCTTCACAGATTTGGCAGCAGTTGTGTGAGGACGTTTATGTATGTCATGTTCTACATCATTTGTCTTTAAGTTCTTCCAGATAATTTGCTGTTGTTAATTCTTGACTAGGTGATGATTTGGACAAGCTGCTAGAGAAAATACTACAGCAGCGAGGAGAAAGTGTCATTATTCCTTTCAATGGAGATGTTAGTGAGTGTGTGTCTTCTCAGGAGGCAATTGCCATGGTTTCTACGCAAGAACCAGGTAATATTTTTACACATAAGATGCAAAATGTGTAAATAGTTTGTTAAAAGACAAAATGCATGGGTCTCAGAAGTCTAAGGCACAGCTGCAGTTACCATACCAGCCTTCAGATATTAATACTGCCAGCTGAATGAAGCAACATAGCAGTCTCTTGGACACAAAAATCTATATAATAACCTTCAGCAACTTTTATAAATATATACATACGTATAAAAATTCCTAAATGAGAGTATTTGATCTTCTGCTTTGCATTAACCAGAGTAAAGAAGATGCTCTTGGATAACTTTGGCAGTGTGGTCTCACCTCATCTTGAAAAATATCATAATCTTGGGTTTAAGGCGAAGGCAGTTTTGCTCCCTAATCTCTCCAGGGGTCCTCCTATGTAGCTTTTGATATTCCTCTCCAAATGTGTACAAGGGTAAAAATCTCTAAAACAGAAGTGCGCCCCATGGCTTCAGGTTTTCAGGAAAGTGTTTTAAGTTCACAGATTCACAGAATATTTAAGGTTGGAAGGGACCTCTAGAGATCATCTAGTCCAACCTTCCTGCTCAAGCAGGCACACCTACAGCATGTGGCACAGGGTGGCATCCAGGCGGGTTTTGAAGACCTCCAGAGTAGGAGACTCCACAACCTCCCTGGGCAGCCTGTTCCACTGCTCTGTCACCCTAACAGGAAAGAAGTTGCTCCTCACCTGGAGACGGAACTTCTTATGCTTCAGCTTGTGGCCATTACCCCTCGTCCTGTCGCTGGCCACCAGTGAAAACAGCTTGTCCCCTTCCTCCCTGCATTCTCCCTTCCTGAATTTATACATATTAATCAGATCCTCTGTGAGCCTTCTCTTCTCCAGAGAAAACAGGCCCAGCTCACTCAGCCTCTCTTCATACGAGAGATGTTCCATTCCCTTAATCATCCTGGTTGCCCTTCTCTGGACCCTCTCCAGAAGCTCCACGTCCCTCCTATACTGGGGTGCCCAGAACTGCACACAGTACTCCAGGTGCGGCCTCACCAGAGCTGAGTAGAGGGGCAGAATCACCTCCATTGACCTGCTGGCAACACTCCTCCTGATGCAGGCCAGGATGCCATTGGCCTTCTTGGCCACGAGGGCACACCGCTCACGCATGGTTAACTTAGTGTCAACCAGGACTCCCAGGTCCCTCTCCGTGGAGGTGCTTTCCAGCAGGTCGACCCCTAATCTGTACTGATGCCTGGGGTTATTCCTCCCCAGGTGCAGGACCCTGCACTTGTCCTTATGTTCTTGGATCAAAAGTGCAATGCAAGTGTAACCTGTAATTTACTTATTTGAGGTGTATATTACACAGCACAACAAGTAATGAGATACTTAGATGCAAAGGATGAACTAGCATTGGCGCCTGAAAATGTTTGTTAGCTTTGTTCCATTTTGGAATCCTTTGTTTGTCCAGAGTTTTAACTGTGCTTTCCTTTTCATATGACAGTTATGATAAAAGAACTTATGACTGAGCTGCCGTGAACACTGAGATTCTTTTAGGTCTAGTATCAGAGCAGATTCAACCACCAGTAAAGCTTTGTTTTCCCTGTGAGAGAAAGGTATGCTCTCGACTTGCATTAGGTAGCTCAAACGAATCAGCTCAGAGTTAAATCGGAATGAAAACAAGATGATTTGTAGCCTTCACCTGGATCAGGAGACGCAAGCAGAGAGGCTGCCAGTGGAACACCTAGTACTGGGTTACATACATAAAGTATTGGACATACTGAAATGCAGGAACCTGCTTGTTCTTGCACAGTTAAACTTTAGTGCATGCTTAGAGAAAGCTAAACTCCAGGTGCTCAGTTCCTGACAACTAATATTTATATTGACAGTGACTAAGTTCAGACTAATCTGAGTCTGAATAAGTCATCTGAGACCAGAAGTCTTAAAAAATCAAATCCTCCCCAAACAAATAAACAGTAGCTGTACCCAAATAATGAAGGGGCTTTGCCTAGATGCCCTGCTTATGCTGCTCATCTTCCTTGAGCAGTGTGTGCTGTTATCGGTCACTGTATAGACTGATACAGGGCTGATACCAGCTGACTTTGAGTAGAGCTAAAGAAAACCAAGTAGAGCTGGTCTGCAGATGAGCTCCTCTCAGCTGACCTGCTCTGCTGCCATGAGAGTCTTTGTGGCAGGATTATCACACAGGCTCCTTTTCCTCAGATGAATAGAAGTGGTGGCAGTCAGTCCATAGTGTCTTGAGCACAGCGGCCTCCATACCTGTGGCTGTGGCTCCTGGAAGGCAGGGGGGAAAACAGGAAGGAAGGAACCCATTTAATGGGTTGTGTTTCACTGTGTTGATGCTGAGGTTTGCTTGGGTTGCATCCTTATGAAATCCTCAGAACACTTAATTTACAAAATTGGCAATACTTACCTGAGGATACCTGATAAATAATGACATTTTAATAAAGAAAAGTCAACATCTTTGATCCAAGCCCAACCCCATTATAGACCCAACCTTTTGGGTCTATAAGAAACCCAGATGCTAGGGCTTATTGAGTGAATAAAAGAAAGTAGACTCTTTGGAGGTACAGTGTTCATTGGGGCGGGGGGAAAGTAAACATGTTTCTTGTGTTTTGTTCTCTTTTTCAAACAAAACGCTCTAGATTTGGATGTTGATACCTTCCAAATTTACCAGCCACAGCTCACAGTTGCCAGAAAGCTCTTGTCCCAGGTTTGTGCTATAGCTGACAGTGGCAATCAAAGCCTGGACCTGGGCCACTTCAGCAAGGTGGATTTCATCGTCGTGGTCCCGCGCTCGGAAGTCCTGGTGCAGCAAACGCTGCAGCGAATTCGACAATCAGGTAAAAGGGAGCAGGAGGGAAAAGAGGGTATTAAATCAGTGTGTATGCGATCGATGTCAAATCTTACCTGGTATAAATGGAAAGATAAGCTGCTGCAACACATATTCTGAAAGCCCTAGGTTGGCTTCCTTCGTTGGTATCATCCATAAATTCAAAGTAAATCCTTTCATCCATAAATTCAAAGTAAATCCTTTTCATACATTATGCCTGTGCTGTACCATGTGAGTGGCAAAAGAAATGGGCATTTCTGTGCAGAGCAGGGGGATGTGTGACCCAAAGAAACATTCAGCTGCCAAGAGAGAAAGCAGATGAACAGTTATGTCTTTTTAGGGTTTTTCTTCCTTCCAGTTGTTAGCGCCACTTGTTCTAGGTGCGCATTGGTGCGTTTGCTGCCATGTGCAGGAGCACAGGTGTATGTGCAGGAAGCTGTGCTGGTTAGGTAGATAAATGATTTGGCAAAACTTTCACTCAGGCACACAGCAATTGTCCTGCTGGTTCAGCAGAGGAGTTTTCTGGTCTGATGATCCGTGCCTGACAGTAGCCAGCATAAAATGCATCCAGAGGAAGAAGAAGGCTTTAGTGGACAGGTAATGGAATGTGTGCCTATTGAAAATGGCTGGTTTTATCCACGCTTAGGGACTGACATCCTTTTTCTGACTCCAGCAGTATTAATATGTTAGCTAAATGTGGGGAAGTTTGGCCTAGTATCATGGAGTGTAGCCAACTCAGTTCTGCTCTGGGAAGATTTTGAGAAGACCTGAATTTCTTTTCCCTTTTGGGTAATATGAGAAGTCTTTGAGTGCTATTTGGAAGAGATACAGAGCCAGGAAGTAAATTTCCTCCCCCATTTTGAGAGAAAAGGCATTTGGACTGTGCTCCTCTTATTAGGAGGAGCATCTCAGGCATTTGGCTGAATCTTGTTGACAAACTACTTAGAGTTGACAGTTTTTGGAGGCGTTCCGAGAGAAAGGGATTTTGTTGCATTCTTCTTTTTGACAGGTGTCCTTGTGGACCTGGGCCTAGAAGACAATGGCACAGCATATCAGAGAGCTGAGAAATACGTGGTTCGGCTGGACAATGAAATTCAAACCAAATTTGAAGTTTTCATGAGGCGAGTGAAGCAGAATCCCTACACGCTCTTTGTGCTGGTTCATGACAATGCCCACGTGGATTTAACAAGGTAGCTGTTGCAGTGTATCAAAGGCAAACAATTACCATATCTGTCTGTTAGTTTTTATAAAAGACTTTCTCTCTTAGCCAGAAGTTTCTGTATACCTCTCAGGTTAGGGACCCTGAAATCAAAAATCATATTTTTTGCGCTTATTTGGATTCAGTGGAAGATAGGTGAAGTAGCTCCAGGTTTTGGGGCCTTAAATAAGGTTTTTCTTAGGGGTAAGTGCTGTGGTACTGAAGGCCAGGAAAAAGGACTAAATTTTGCAACTTTTGTTACTCTTCTTGTCTTTTTCCTCCTCAGTAACTTTTCTTAACTAAGCTATCAGCCCCAAACTCCCCCCTGTTCAAAAGCCAGTCGTGTTTCACCTCATGTTTTTGTCCTTTATGATTGCATTGCTCTTAATATGAGAAGACTCTCAAACACTTAACTCTTCTCATCGTCTGAAAAACTCCCTAACTACAGTAAGGAAAGAATTTAAAAAGCAGCAGCTCTGTTGAAGTATCATGACTGTTTTAAGTGTTTGATTTAAGCAGAGTACACACATATATCCACAGAAACATTTATTCGTGCTAAATCATAACAATGGAAAGAGAAAGCTGTAAGTAAAGCAAGTTGTTATGTTCTTTTTCCACGGGTAAACTGGAGAGAATATCCGAATGGGATTCAGCTGTGATTGGAAAGCTTGGGAGGGATTCATGTGAGCAGAGCTTTAATACATCAAATAGTTTCCTTGAGCTAAAACTGAAAATAGGTAAAAGCAACATTCTTTCTACCTCGTTCTCCCCATCAAAGCTGTGCCCTTGGCTTCACTGGAGACTGAATTTGGAATTATGCCTTGCAGGTGAAATTAATTCCAGGGGCTGAAAGTAGGACATCAGGAGAGTACAGTGTCCTCCAAGGTCTTAGAAAAACAGTATTTCTGGCTGAAGGATCCAGTGAATTTTGTAAACTTGTTACAATATCCTAATCCTGTTGAACAGTGTTTTTCAGGGAGAGAGGTTTCAATGGGTTTTGGTTTGTTTTAGGTTTCCTCCATGTGATGCTCTTTTAAACTGGCACATTAATTCAGCTTCTTGCTGCCAGGGGATTTTGCTCCATTATTTGGTTTTCCTTCTCCTTGCACCTGCGTCTACCCCCAGAGAACCCTCAAATGCTTTTGACATCTTTTGTCCTTTCCAAGAATTTTTTTGAGCTGTAGTTCTCTGTTTCCTGCTTATCCAGGAGTTTTCCTGGAGGAAGAGCGTAAGCCGTTGAATCTCAGGATGTCAGTAAGGCAATTCTTTGCATTCTTATTTCTGCAGTGCCATTTCAAGTTCCCTGTCACATGGTGAGCCTAGTCATGGTCTGGCTGATAGAGTTATTAATTGCAGGGAGGTCCTTGAAGCATTCAACCTCCTTGTTCTTCAGGTCAGCTCTTTTCCTTACGCCTTGCAAACGCAGCAGTCCAGGATCAGCTCTAGCAATGAGGTACACTGGATACAATTTGACACTATGGTAAGTGTTTAATTGTTAAGCTGTGAATATTAATGCAAAATTCACACATAACAGAATCTAGTAGACAGATATTATAGCAAAATGTTAGGAGGGAGCCCTTTCTCTGGTGGAATTTGTTCCCTCAAGCTCTAGATAAGCAGCTGTGGGCTGTTGATAGTGGAGGTAGCATTGACATTTAGGCCTAGAAACTGCACATCTTCCTTTGCCCATTGAAGTAATATAAGAGGTGAATTTGTAGACTGGGGCCAGATAAAGCTGTGTGAGCTTGTCAGAAAGCTCTTGAGCTTGCTTTGCCCTTCCAAGTTGCCTGACCCTTGACTACAGTCAAACAAACAAGCTAGTGGAAATGGAGGAGCAAATGAATATTAAATCACACAGCTTTGGGGCTGATTTTAAACACAAGCCATTATGGTGACCTGCCAAAAGAAGAAAATGTAGACAATTTTCTGTTTCCAAAAAGTAAGAAATCAACAATTTTTGGTCCTCTGGTTAAGAGCAAAAGAAAGCAAATGAGAGAGACTCTGTGAAGATTAGTTGTTTTTGTAGTGATCACCAGTCAGATGTAGAGAGACACTGAAAACCATGCTGTATTTCCAGCAGATCCCTCATAAAATATGTCAGGCGAATATTCTGTCTCCCTGATGTCTGTCAGCAGATTTACACTCCAGAAGAGAAAAAAAAGTTGCCCTTTGTTATTAGACGTGTGCAGAGTCTGACAATGAAGAGAAATTTTTGAATCAAATAATCCTTGTGTTTTCAGGTTCTGCTTTAAATGGAGAGAAATGAGGTAGAATTGTCAGTAGATAAACCTAGGGATAGGGAGTCTGAAATAAATTAGCATCATTCTGGAGAAAAAAGAAAAAAAAACTGTAATGAAAGGTAAAAAGTGTTTCCAGATATTTTTAAGGACCTGAAAATGAAAGGTAAAAAGTGTTTCCAGATATTTCCAGATATTTTCAAGGATTTCATATGTTTTTCTAACGTTAGTCAAAGATAAAATTAGAAATAATCATTTTACATGTTACTGTACTCCTTAAAACAAACAGGCAACATCACTGATGGAGAATGAATAAAAAGCAAAGATGTATAGCTTTGGAAAACATTTTTCTCTTTTTGCTGTTTTTAATGACAAAAGCAATTAAAATTGGCTCTGGCTTTTCATGTGCTTTTGTTATCTCTCTGTGGAACAGGATGACACAGCAAGTGAAGACAAGCTGTACTTCGGCTTGAATGAATACAGCAAATCCCTCCAGTGGGGAGTCACAAGTCCCCTTCTGAGATGTGATGAAACCTTTGAAAAAATGGTCACTACGCTTTTAGAAAGGTAAAGGATAACATGGGAGCTTGGGATGGTGCTTGACTGGGATCACAAGGACACAGATATAAATTAGGAGCCCTGTCATAATTTATACTTGCCCTGTGAAGACATGATGACATGTTTTGTTGTCGTGGGATCTGTGAAGCACGTGCCACGTTTATTTTTGTGATGAATTTAGTGCTTTAGAAGAAGGATTGGCAATCCTTCCTTTATTTATAGACTAGAGTAAGCCCACTCAGTGGCTCTCCACACTCAGGTATGCTGCTCTGCCCCTTTGGCTCAGTCCTCATTAAATTAAAGAGCCCTCACAGGTTTTGCCCCTCACCACTTCTCAACAGGGTTGTCACTGGTGGCCCCAGGTGAGTGCCATCTTTTGAAAAACTTAATTTTTATTATTTCTTTAGCTAGCAAGTGCTTTGGTGGCTGCAGCTCAAAGCCTGGCTTTATTTGTGCCTTGTTAGTGCCCTGCAACCTCCTGCACACACTAAGTTCACAGTGCCCACCCAAGCTAACCCTGAGGACACACTTGACAGCTGCAAAGACAAAACTGTGGTTTCCAGCAAAGTGGTGGTCGTCTGTTCTGCAGCCCAGCTGGATAGATCCCTCGTAATTGTTCAAGCTGCAGTTCTCATTGTGTTTGCATGTTTAATAAAATAGAACTATTCTGTGTCTTCAGTACTGCTTTTTCCGTTTTATTTAGGTCAATATAGCAGTTACTAATTTAGCTGTATTGAAGAAAATACATCATCAAATTTGTCAAATTAGCTACATAAGTGAATAATTAAGGATCTATAGAAAAGGATGAAAAGGAATTGGTGATTGTGCAAATACTACCTTGGTACAAAGTTAGGATAAGACTAGAAGGTGAGAGAGGTGAACCTGGAATATACTTTTGGGTCCAAGTTGATTGTTGTAGGCTGTGTCTTCAAGGAACTGTGCTGTTCAGTCTGTGAGCTATACAAGCTTATACATCTGAAAACGTTTCAGACATTTTGATATTATAAGGAAAATCCCAATTGTTTTAGTATCAAAATGGCAGTGGGTACTTCTAAGAAAGGAATTTTTAAAATTATTTCTATTGATTTAATGACTAGATTGTGGTTTTTTGAGCTATTGTCCCTGCTGGTCAGAAGACAGACACAGTACTTTATTCAAGTGGATCTATCTACTCTATCAAATTACTTAAGAAATTTCTTAGGAAATTTGGAGGGTTTGTTTAGTTGTTTAGACTTTTGTAGCAGAAGTACTCAAGCCACGGTAGTGTAGTGTTAAAACATGAAGCTGCAAGCAGATTATTTGCTCTGGTAGATCTATATTAGCTCTGCAGAGCTTACAAAAACCTGATGTGTTTCAAGTCAGCATCAATTCTAGTGAAAGACCATTGAGGTAACTGGAGTTGCCTCCTTATCTCACTGTTTTCAGGTCTTGCATTTGCAAAATCTACACAGTAAAAGTTACTGCCAATTGGCTGACATGTCATAACTTACTGGTATCTCTAAATTGTGAGGGCTTTTTATAAACACAGTGGCAATGACTGAACTCTCACTGAACTGGGAAAGTAGAAATCAACTTTTTTGTTGTTTTTCTCAAATAGATTTAATGTTCTTTTTTGTAGCATTTTCCTTTGTGAGACAGTATTTGTTGTCACCGAGAACAGCTGCAGTGAGAAGAAAGAGGCATTGCCTGTGTAACTGGAGGTGGGATGAAAGCAAAGATTTGATTGAGAGCCAGGAATCTCTTTGGCTAAATGTGGCTTTCTAGTGAGTGGGGTGAGAGATTGGAAGTGGTGAGGTGTTTCTGCCCCTAATGCTTTAAAACAGGCATGTTCATAGAAGGAAAAACTCCTGGCCAGTAAAGGGGTTGTTAGCAGGTCTGGTGGTGATGGGTTTGCAGTTGGACTTGATCATCTTGAAAGTCTTTTCTAGCCGTAGTGATGGATTCTGTGACTGCCCTGTGCTGCTGGAATGAACAGCATCGGAGCTGGTCCGTATCTCTGACAAGTTACAGATTTTTAGTCAAATTTTATTTTTAGTAAAAGAAACAGAAGTTCATCATTTATGTGACTGGAGGGCAGGTAGTCCTGTCTCCTTACGCTCTGCGTGTGGTCGGTGTTTAATGCCTGTATCTCAGGTCCCGTTAGTTTTGTGCACAGCTCCTGTCCACGGAAGTGTTCGTCCCTCGAGCAGTGCCGGGGCAGCGGGCGCCCGTGGGACCCCCGGGACGTGGGCAGCGCTGACGCCGAGCCCACCCGTGTCTCCCCGCAGGTACCCCAGGCTGCACAGCATGGTGATCCGCTGCTACCTGCTCATCCAGCAGTATTCCCAGGCGCTGATGGCGCTCACGAGCGTGGCCTCGCTGCGGGATCACAGCACGCCCGAGACGCTCAGCATCATGGACGACCTCCTCACGTCGCCGGGCAAGGACAGGAACGGCTGCGGCCACATGCTCGTCATCAGGGTGCCCTCGGTGCAGCTGGCCATGCTGGCCAAGGAGAGGCTGCAGGAAGTAAGGGACAAGCTGGGCCTGCAGTATCGCTTCGAGATCCTCCTCGGGAACCCCGCGGCGGAGCTCTCCGTGGCCAAGCATTTTGTGACGCGGTTGAAGGTTAGCAGGGGTTGAATGTCTCTCTCTGTGGGTGCCCGCTGCAGCCTGCGGCGTGCGTTGTGTGTGGATTCCTGCACGTATGCACACATGTAGGTTAATTATTCCGTAGGAAAAGGGTGCGTGTTCTCTCTCTTTTTCCATGGAAGTGCAATGTGCTGTTGGTAATCGTAACTGATTTAGAGACATAGAGGGGAAAAAAGTAAATTGTTACTGGTCTATGAAGTCAAACACACAAAAAAAGAAACGTTTGTTAACACTGAAACACTTGCTGAAGTTGAATAACAGCAGAAGAAGTCTTAAAGAGCATATAAGTTTCTTTGAATTTCCCAAAGCGGAGCTCGCATCTCGCTGGGCAAACTAATTCTTTCCACTCATTTATCTGTCTGTCCAGCTTATCTGTCATCTGCTCCCCCCCATCTTCTGCCCTCCTGATGCCTGGTAAAGTATCCTGTTTGTCACAGACTTCCCCACTCAGTGCATGCTGCTGAAAGCCCTTTCTGCACCGCACATATGCACGAGGCTAAGCTTCTGCATGCATTTAAAAGAGCATGGCACTTTTTGAAATGGTTTTCCTACTAATTAAAAAAATGGAAGCCGATTGCCTTTCTTAATACCAGCCTGAAAGCAGTTCTGGTGATTTCTCCTGACTCCTGCTCTAAGTCTCATCCAGAGATTCATCTGTTTTTTCTATTACCTTTTCTGTGTTCAAAACAGGAAAAGGAATGAATTTAGTGTGTCTTCCTCATAGAGCTTGTCTGTGATCACAAACAGATAAAGTATTCCTTAAGGAAGCTACTGCCTCTGCTTCTTAAGCCTTTTGTGCAGCAGGAGAGGGAAGAGAGGAAAGGAAAAGTAGTGAAGGAAGAAAACAGGCTGTGAGCTAAGAGCTCTGAGCTGCTGGGTTTTCAGAATATTTCAGAATATTTAAGGTTGGAAGGGACCTCTACAGATCATCTAGTCCAACCTTCCTGCTCAAGCAGGCACACCTACAGCATGTGGCACAGGGTGGCATCCAGGCGGGTTTTGAAGACCTCCAGAGTAGGAGACT